TTGTTCTTTTTGTGTGTGTTTGGGTTTGTTTGTTTTGAAATAAAGTGTTGGCCAGGTGCAGTGGCTCACGCATGTAATCCCAGCACTTTGGGAGGCTGAGGCTGGTATATCACAAGGTCAGGAGATCAAGACCATCCTGGCCAACATGGTGAAACCCTGTCTCTACTAAAAACACCAAAATTAGCCAAGTGTGGTGGCTCACAACTGTAGTCCTAGCTATTCGGGAAGCTGAGGCAGGAGAATAGCTTGAACCCAGAAGGCAGAGGTTTCAGTGAGCCAAGATCGCACCACTGCACTCCAGTCTGGAGACAAGGGTGAGCCTCCATCTCAAATAAATAAATAAATAAATAAATAAAGTGTTGCTCTGTGGCCCAGGCTGAAGTGCAGTGGTGTAATCACAGCTCACTGCAGCCTCAACCTTTTGGGTTCAAGTGAGCCTCCCAGTTCAGCCTCCAATAGCTGGGACTACAGGGGCATGCCTGGCTAATTGCTTTTTGGTTTTGTTTGGTTTGGGTATTTTTGTAGAGATAGGGTTTCACCATGTTAGCCAGGCTGGTCTCAACTCCTGGGCTCAAGTCATCTGTCTGCCTTGGCCTCCCAAAGTGCTGGGATTACTGGTGCCACCGGGCTCAGCTTTTTTTTTTTTTTGAGACAGAGTCTTGCTCTGTCACCCAGGCTGGAGTGTGGTGGCATGATCTGCAATCTCCACCTCCCAGGTTCTTGCAATTCTACTGCCTCAGCCTCCTGAGCAGCTGGGACTACAGGTGCACATCACCACACCCAGCTAATTTTTTGGATGTTAGTATAGATGGGGTTTCTCTGTGTTGCCCAGGCTGGTCTGGAACTCCTGAGCTCAGGCAATCCACCTGCCTTGGCCTCACAAAGTGCTGGGATTACAGGTGTGAGCCACGACACCTAGCCACAGTCAGGTGCTTATCTGAATATTTTAAAGATGAGGCCAACAGAGAAATTTCTGCTTGAACCAGCAAGAATAATAAATGGCAACACACACACACAAACAAGGAGCCCATTTTTTACTCTTTGAAATTATTCCCCACTTCAAAGAAACAACTTCATTGAAATGCAAAATGAAATGCAGATGATTTTCTTTTTAATTATTTTTTGAGACACAGTGTCACTCTTGTCGCCCAGGCTGGAGTGCAAGGCTCGATCTCAGCTCATTGCAACCTCCGCCTCCTGGGTTCTCCTCCCAGTAACTGGGATTACAGGCACCTGCCACCACGCTTGGCTAGTTTTTGTATTTTTAGTAGAGACGGGTTTTCGTCATGTTACCAGGCTGGTCTGGAACTGCTGACCCAGGTGATCCACTACTTCGGCCTCCCAAAGTGCTGGGATTACAGGCATAAGCCACTGCACCCAGCCACCGAAGATTACTTTTATCATCTCTTATGAAACGTGTAGAAAATTAACCTGGCTGTGCCTTTTTTTTTTTAACTAAGAAATCTGCAACACAGGTTCTTGCTTGCCAAACAGAGAGCCTTATTGTGTGTTACACATAAAAGCAGGGAGATTGAAAGAATATGGTTCAGTTATGGAATCTATGGAAAATGGGATCAAGCTTCTTAAATTGGCAGGGAAATACATTTCCTAGATTTTTCCATGGGAGAAGTAGAGAAAGAAAACCTTTTTTCCTCTGCCCTTCTTGGGTGTCTGCCTGGATCCCTACAAATTGTACTGACAAATGACAAATTAACCATCAAAAACACAATTGTATTGACAAGTTCACCTCTCAGATGTGTCAAAAAGTTAGTTGGAATTTAAGGTCTATACACCTAACTTACTTAAAAGGGAAGAGAGAAAGTGCACTTAAAGAAAATCAAATGACATTTTGGAAAGCCAAAGGAGCCACAGATATGATGGTCTTGTGACAATGTCCTGTTTGGGTTTTGGGTATAGTGCTGACTTCTCCTCTAAGAAAAAAAGATTAGAGATGCTCCCACTAAGGGGATTTCTGACAATTTCATTCCTTTGAGTTCCTTCTGGGACTCTCTGCATTTAGATAGATGAGATATTTCAGAAACTCCAATGTCTTGGCTCAAAAATAATTCTTAATATAGCATATTTGGGGGTGACAAACCCTGATAATCTCAGAGATAAATATAAAAGAGTAAAAATATTGAAAAGAAAATCAATTTATCAAATAAGTGAATTAATGACTATAAGACACAAAAATAAAACGTATGCTTGTGAGCTGGGTACAGTGGCTCAGGCCTCTAATTCTAGCACTTTGGGAGGCCAAGGTGGGAGCACAAGTTGAGCCCAGGAGTTCAAGACCATCCTGAGCAACATAGTGAGGAGAACTCGTCTCTACAAAAAATAAAAACAGGCCAGGTGTGGATGTTCATGCCTGTAATCCCAACATTTTGGGAGGCCGAGGCAGTCAGATCACCTGAGGTCAGGAGTTCAAGAATAGCCTGACCAAAGTACTAAAACCCCACCTCTACTAAAAACACAAAAATGAGCCGAGCATGGTGGCAGGTGCCTGTAATCCAGCTATTCAGGAGGCTGAGGGAGGAGAATTGCTTGAACCTGAGAGGGAGGAGGTTGCAGTGAGCTAAGATCAGGCCATTGCACTCCAGCCTGAGTGACAAGAGTGACACTCTGTCTCAAAGAATAAAAATAAAAACAAAATTAGCTGGGTGTAGTAGAAATGGCTACTTCCCAAGTAGTCCCAGCTACTTGGGAAACTGTGGGAAGATCACTTGTGCCCAGGAAATCAAAGCTGAAGTAAAATATGATTGTGCCACCACCCTCTAGCCTGGGTGACGACAGAGCAAGATCCTATCTCAAAAAAAAAGAAGAAGAAGTTTGCTTAAGCATTTGTGTATCAAGTAAGAATTACAGTTATCACAAAAGGCACACAATTTTATCAAGTAACTGAGATCAGTATTCAGTCTGCAGTTACAGCAAATGGAAGCTCTGTATCACCAATTTAGAGTTTAGCATCTGCCAAGAGAACTTTTCCTTGTTGCAGTGACAAGAAAACCCCAAACCAAAAGGCATCTAACTGGATGGAACATAGTTTGGGACATTCATCATATTTCTCTGGAGAACTTTTGCTAAAATTTCTGTTGAAAACATCAATTTCCAGACCCCACTGCAAGATGTTTTCATTCAACATATTTGAGTTGACACCTGGGCATGTGTACCTTACAATTTTGTAAGGATTTTGATGATCATCCACTACCGGGACCACAGTCTGCATCTGAAAACATTTCAAAATTCACCTACTCAAAGACAGAATTTGAAAATGAAGTTTTGTTTGCTTATTTGTAGCACAGAGGGCTACTCATTTTATTGAGTAATAGACTGTTGGTGCTCAAAGATTATCTGGTCAAAAAGAAGATAAGCAGATGAAACAACCAAAGCCCAGAAAGTGCCCACTACCCACAGAAAGTGCCGGTTCTCCTACACTTTCCTCACCCCACTGCCTGCATTCCATCTGGACATTATTTAAAGAATGTGTTTAAATATTTTCCACACGTAATGTGCTTTCCTTACTATGTTGGTGTATATTTCTACTTATCCAATTTTTACCTATTTTCAGAATGTAATCAAAATAGCATCTACACACATATATACACAATAAAATCATATACATATACACATACAACAAAAGAAAGAAAGTTAGAAAGCAAGACCCAAGAAAAGGAATCATAAATATGGTAATGACAATTCATCAACTTTGCAGCAATAAAGTTGAAAATGGTGCTAAGCCCTTGACAGCCAGGGCATAAAGAGACAAGTAGACCATGAGCTTCAGTGAAGGTACGTGGCATGATTTCTTTCTCATTAATTATTTTCCTTCTTGTGTTAAACTGCACTGCTCAGTCAATAATTAATAGCTGTGACCTGCAATCCTGGAGCCAAACTACATTAAACTTGTATTCCATATTACTCAGGACCTGCAAATTTCAGGAGGAAATGTAGAAGGTAACTAGGATTATGGAGAAAACAAAATGACCTATGGCTGTGAGTACGCACTATCACACTGGTAAAGCATTCGATCATAGTTGAACAAAGATGATTGAAGCTGTGCTAAAAGGAATTACGCTTATCCTTGTTCTTATATTTTAGATCTAATAGCCAAGCCTGAATGTCCTGAGTTTCAATGTCTCTGAACCACTATTAGTCAGGTTTCTTTTTAATTTTCTCCTAAGAACTACTTAGAATTCTTCAGTCCCTTCGGTTGCTCAGGCTTCATCTTTCCCATTTTTTAGGTATTTTCCCCAAAACAATAGTGGGAAATAAAAAGAAAAGGAAAACCATTCAATCCTCCTCTCCTAAAAAGTACAGCTTGCCCCGTTTGTTGTGGTTGTCGTTGTTGCTGTTGTTAGGACTGTCCTGTCTTTTGTGTAACCTGAATAGTTCTTGCTTTTAAAAATGTTTATCCAGGGCTCTACATACTTCCCATGGCTCCCTGCTGATAAAGCTTCAGTGTAATTAAAGTATTTATATGAACACTGAAGAATTCAACTTGCATTATTTAGACACACAAAGAAAAACTTGGCATTTCCAAGTCACAATTGTGTAATCAGATGGCATAGTGTCAGTTGGTTTAAGAATAACTTTACACTCAGAAAAAAAAATGTAAAATTGCTATATTTTCTCTCTTATATGTTTTCTCTATTATTTGTTGGTGAAATTTATTTTACTGGATTATACTTCAATGTGTATTGAATGTTTCAAACTACATAGTCTAAAACAGTCATGCTGGACTATATATGTTTGTTTAATTAACCTGGGAAAATAAACGTCAATGGACAGGGGAAAGCGAACTCATCATCATTCAATTAGGCCTAAAGGCAGGCTTTTTTTTTTTTTTTTTTGCCTTTAAATGTCTTGCCTCTTGACACATCCTTATTATGGAAATAAATGTAACATTGAATAAGCTAACGCCATGCTTTTGGAATTATGACATGAAGGGGAAGAATTACAGCACACTGGGAATTTTTGTAAGAATTGATTTACAAAAGAAGTTGCCACATTTGTTTTTATTGTGGTTAAAGCTCTAGTTTGGGAAAAGACAAAAGGGCAAGGAATCGGGGCATTTCTGGATGAATGTGGATCTAATGAAGAGAGTCCATTGGTTCCACAGGCCAGGGTAAGATTCCCACAGTTCTGAACAAACAGTTCTCAGCCAATAATTTCTAAGCCTTTGTTTCCCCACTTTGGAATTCTGACTACAGGCATGTTACCAGGCCAACTGGGTTCACTACAAAGACCCAGAGAACGCTTTTTATCACGAAGATCAAGACAACAATTGTGTGCCTACAAGAAAAAAAACAACTAAAACCATCCAACAAGCATTAAAAGAACAATTCTAGAGATAGTTGCCTTTGAACTCCAATAATGGACAACATTCAGTCCTGAGATTTGAATTCCAAGTTAAAAGAATTCACTACCAATTGCCTTTCCTTATAATTCTGAGAGCCACTGGCAGCAAGTATTTTCAGCAGCATTATTTTTGTCCAACGTAATACTTTACAGTGATGTCAAATCCCATACAATAACCATATTGTAAATCGACTTCATAGACTTCATTTTGTTTATTATAGAGTTCATTTATGAAATAGAAGGAATCTAAATTTTGCCTTGGCTTCACCCCAAACTACAAAAAGTACTGTTTTACAAAAGCTTGTTCTGAAATATCACTTCCTGAATGTAAAAGTTTGCTATTTGCACAGATACATTCCACAGACATACACACCATCCAGCTGAGAAAATAAAGGATCGTCCATCTGGATGTTTCTTTTTTCTCCTAACTGTGACCTGTGAATAATTTCAGTTCCACATGGAAAAAAATAAACAAAACTTCCATTGTTGTGTAAACACGGCACTTTCTAATGATGTGGGAACAATTTACACTGAATCTGAGCAGACACAATAATTAAGAATACATATTCTGGCCAGGTGCAGTGGCTCACGCCTGTAATACCAGCACTTGGGGAAGCCGAGGTGGGAGGATCATGAGGTCAAGAGATCAAGACCATCTTGGCCAACATGGTGAAACCCCGTCTCTACTAAAAATACAAAAATTAGCTGGGCGTGATGGCACACGCCTGTAGTCTCAGCTACTCGGGAGGTTGAGGCAGAAGGATCACTTGAACCAGGGAGGCAGAGGCTGCAGAGAGCCGAGACGGCCCACTGTGCTTCCAGCCTGTTGACAGAACAAGACTCCGTCTGGAAAAAAAAAAAAGAATACATATTCTATTTGAAGAATTTGACCACTATTATTTGTGGGGGTTCTACATATTCAAAACCTTACAAATAGTTTATGGGATTCAATCTTTTCTTATCATAAAATCCATGACAAGCATTTTTTTGTGTTTTTTTTGAGACAGGGTCTCACTCTGTAACCCAGGCTGAAATGCAGTTGTAGCTCACAACAATCTGGAACTTTTGGGCTCAAGGAAATTCTCCTGCCTCAGCTTCCCCAGTAGTTGGGACTACAGGCACCTGCCACTGAGCGCAGCTAATTTTTTTTATTTTTTATTTACTGTTTTTTTTTTTTTTTTGTAGAGACAGGATCTTGTTTTGTTGCCCAGTCTGGTCTCAAACTCCTGGACTCAAGTGATCCTCCCACCTCAGCCTCCCAAAAATATTGGGTATGAGCCACCACAGTCAGCGAAGTATTTATTTTAATGTGTTTTGAGCGTTCATTCTGTTTTTTGTATGCATAAGAAAGGCAAAAGAATCATCTTTTAAACCAACTATCCTGGTGGTTCATTTCGTGGAAGGATTAAATGAGTCTTGCATTTGATAAAATTCAAAATGACTACCCCAAACCACAACACCTTGTTTTATCTAGTGAGAGTAGCTTGCTGCTTTTAGAGAGCGTCTCAGAAACACTTTTCTTGCCAAAAAAAAAAAAAAAGAAGAAAGTTCTATAATAGAATGAGTGCTCTAGATTTTTGTTTTTAACTTAAATTTTAATGATCAATTTTTTCTTATATTCATGAATGCATTTCAATGCTACACCAGCAACTTTTATGCCAAAATCAATGTGGAAAACTGTTTTGGCATATACATATTAATTTCATACATGGGAAACCGTAAATTTGGCAAGTAACTTCTCCTTATTTGTAAATAATTAGCTTTGGTGTATTGCCTACAAGATTTCAGATTATCATGAGAGTATTTAGATGTTTTGAGGGCTATATTTGAAGACTAGCTGCTGGCGGATAACAGAAATACTTTGATTATCAGCCAACACAAACAGCTCTTAACTAAAGCAGATTGGTATATTTTGTCTGTACAGAAAAAAAAATCTATAAATCAAATATGATTTTCCCATAGAGGTAATATAATGTTTTATTCCCATCAAGACCTTGATGACAGGAAAAGTCACCAGGATGGTAAAGGAGAAGATACCAGCCTTCATCCTCCCACAAAAAAAACACATACAGACAGCTATCCACAAGCCTAAATAGCATTGAGAGGGCTCAAGGGCCTACTAAAGAATCTGTAGCAACACGGTCAAGTGAAAAAAAAACAGAATATTCACACAGAAATGACTGCTGATAACATTAGCAAACTTGAGGCACCAGGAATCAGCTAGCAACAAAGAGGCAGAGGCTGTCAATCATGTAACAGGAATATAACTCTAGTATTGATATGATTACATATCAATCATGTAACAGGAACCACTCTAGTACCCAGCAGCCTGCTCCAGAGAGGACACCAGTGTCCTTTGCCACTGAGGTATCAAAGAAGCATTCCTTCTGGGGAACCTCAGAGAGGGAGAAGCAGTTTGCATACTCCTCTCCCTTCCAAGAAGCAGTCACTGTTGAGCCACTTCAGGAACAGAGCTATGATCTCTCTCGACCCCACAAATTCCCTGACCCTGAAGCCATAGCCATCCTTCCACACCCTGGACATCCTGGGTGTCCACAATGTACACCCAGGTTCTGTGCCAGTACTGTGCCCACCCATGTCTGAAGCGCCAAAGCCACTGCCATAGGAAGTTGGTTCACACTGCCGGCCCCAGAGCCACTCTCTTAACTCCACATGCCTAAACTTCAGCAGCAACTCAGGCACCGTAGAGTTAGGCTCCATTCTAATTCCAGAGTCATTTTAACTCTGCTCACACCTGTGCTCCTGTTCTGAGCTTCACCAGCACATATGCCCTGCATACTGTAGCAAGCAATATAGCAGCGGGGGTGCCTATGCCTTGGTCACAATGCCATTACTACCATAGACCCTAGAGCCATAGTACCTCCATGACCACGCTTCAGGTCTCAGCTCTGTGGCTGCTTCACAGGCACCACTCATCAAATATTGATGCCATCATCACTGTAAGCAGGCCCACAATGCTAAGAGGGATCCTCTCAGCTACAACTTCCCTAGTGGGAGGAAAAGAGCGTGGAAGGACCTTTGCAGCCACTGCTGCCAAAGGCCCAACAACTCTTGTCATCACTGTGGACATCCACAGCTTTGGCCTCTGAGGATCGTTGCAATCTATGTTAACACCAACCTCAGCTGATACAGCTGCAGGGACATGACACAGCTGCAGGGGCACTATACAGCTGTACCCTCACTGGTGCCAGAACCACTGTACCCTACTCAGAAAGCCCCCTTGTAGCTTTCCACTTATAGGGGAAGGTTTTTCCACAGCAAAACTAGCCCATAAAATCTGGAAGAGATGTGTAATCCACAAATACACAGACATCAACATAAGGCACAAGAAACATGAAAAATCAAGGATTCATAAAAACCACTAAAAGAACATAATATCTGTCCAACACCTGACCCCCAAAAAAGCAGGTATACAAAGTACTGGACAAAGATTCAAAATAATTGTTTTAAGGAAGCTCAGTGAACTTTAAGAAACTTTAGAGAAACAATCAATGAAACTTTAAGAAACCTTGGAGACACAATCAGTGAAATTAGGAAAACAATGATTGACCAAAATGAGAAATTTAACAGAGAGATTAAAATTATAAAGAAAATGATAGAAATTCTGGAGCTGAAAAATACAAATACAAGTGAAATGGAAAATGCAATAGAAGGCATCAACAGCAGAATTGATAAAGCAAAGAATTTCTGAACTCAGAGACAGGTTGTTTGAAAATATAACACAAATGAAAGAAATTGAAGACCCAAATAAGTGGGAAGATATCCCATATTGATAGATTGGAAGAAATAATAACGTAAAAATGTCCATACTACCCAAAGCAATCTTCACATTCAATGCAATAGCAATGAAAGTTCCAAGGACATGTTTCACAAAAATAAAAAAAAAATAAAAAACACCTCTAAATTCGTATGGAACCATGAAAGATGTCAAATAGGCAAAGCAATCTTAAACAAAAGAACAAAACTGAAGGCATCACAACATCCAATTTTAAAAATCTACTATAAAATGGTAATAATCAAAACAGCATGGTACTGGCATAAAAGCAGACATACAGATTAATGGAACAGAATAGAGCACAAAAATAAATTCTTATGTTTATGGCCAATTGCTTTTCGACAAAGATGTCAAGCATACCCATTGGAGGTAAGACAGTTCCTTCAACAAATGATGCTGGGAAAAGTGGATATCCACATGCAAAAAAAAAAATAATAAAATTAGACCATTATCTCACAATATATACAAAAATCAACTGAAAACAGATTAAAGCAACCTATAGGATAGGAGAAAATATTTGCAAGCCATACAAATGATAAGGGGTTACCGCCCAAAATATATGAGGAAATCAATAGCAAGAAAATAAGCCAATTAAAAAATGGGCAAGGCTGGGCACGGTGGCTCAAGCCTGTAATCCCAGCACTTTGGGAGGCCAAGGTGGGTAGATCCCCTGAGGTCAGGAGTTCAAGACTAGCCTGGCCAACATGGTGAAACCTTGTCTCTACTAAAAATATAAAAATTAGCCAGGCATGGTGGCGCATGCCTATACTCCAGCTATTTGGGAGGCTAAGGAGGTAGCATTACTTGAACCTGGAAGGTGGAGGTTGTGGTGAGCCAAGATCACGCCAATGCACTCCAGCCTGGGCAACAAAGTAAGATTCCATCTCAAAAAAAAAAAATGGACAAAGGGTCAGGTACCATGGTACCTGTAGTCATGGCTACTTGGAGGCTAAGACAGGAGAATCACTTGAAAACAGGAGTTCTGGACTTCAGTGCGGTATGTCACCCGGTGTCCACACTAAGTTCAGCCTCAATGTTGACCTTGTGGGAGGAAGAAACCACCAGGTTGTCTAAGGAGGGGTGAATAGGCTCAGGTTGGAAACAGAGCAGATTAAAACTTCCATACTAATCAGTAGTGGCATCTTACCTGTGAACAGCCATTGCCCTTCAAACTGCGCAACATAGGGAGACCTCTATCCTGTAAAAATTATTTTTTTAAATGGGCAAAGAACCTGAATAGACACTTCTCAAAAAAGGACAAAGAAGTGACCAACAGGCATATGAAAAAAGTACTCAACATCACTAATCATTCAGCAAATGCAAATTAAAACAATAATAAAATTTGTCCTCACGCCTGTTAAAATGATTATTACCAAAAAGGACAAAAGATGGCAAATGTTGGTGAGGATATGGAGAAAAGGTAATTAATAAGGGAATGTAAATTAGCATAGCCATTATGAAAAAGAATATGGAGGTTGCTCAAAATATTAAAAATAAAACTACCACATGATCCAGCAATCTCACTGATGGGTATATATCCAAAAGGTATGAAATCAGTATTTTGGGCCAGTGGTATGGCTCATGCCTATAATCCCAGCACTTTGGGAGGCTTGAGGCAGGTGGATCACGAGGTCAAGAGTTCAAGACCAGCTTGACTAACATGGAGAAACCCCATCTCTACTAAAAATACAAAATTAGCCGGGTGTGCTGGCACATGCCTGTAACCCCAGCTATTCAGGAGGCTGAGGCAGAAGAATTGCTTGAACCAGGGAGGCAGAAGTTGCAGTGAGCCAAGATCACACCATAGCACTCCAGCCTGGGCAACAAGAGTGAAACTACGTCTCAAAAAAAAAAAAAAAATAGAAATCAGTGTTTTGAAAAAGTACGCTCTCATATTTATCTCAGCACTATTTACAATAGCCAATATACAGAATTAACCTAAGTGCCCAACAGTGAGTGGATGAATAAAGTAAATGTGTTTTACGTACACAATGGAATACTATTCAGCCTTAAAGGAAAAAGAAGGTAATCCTCTCTTTTGCAACAACAC